AAGATTATGGTCTTACTTTTGAGAAAGTACATCTCTTTTGTGATAATACTAGTGCTATCAATATTGCTAAGAATCCTGTTCAACACTCACGCACAAAGCACATTGATATTCGTTTTCACTTTTTGAGGGATCATGTTGAGAAGGGAGATGTTGAATTGTAGTTTTTGGACACAAAGTTGCAAATTGCTGATATTTTCACTAAACCTTTGGATTCTAATCGCTTTGCTTTTCTTCGTGGTGAATTGGGCATAATTCATCCTTTTGACATGGTTTGAGGGGGAGTTTGTACCTCATGGTTTTATCAAGCAATAATATGACAATGGAAAAATTTTGAAAAGAGAGCTTTGTTTATGCATATGGTATTTTCTTGTGCATGCTAGCAATACTTTGAAGGTTTATTTGTCTCTAGCATAGCTTGTATGTATTCTAGTCTTTTCATGAGATTTAGATTTTGCTTTTAAGGGAGATGATGCATGACACTTAAATTCTATACTTGAATTAAGAAAATATGCAATGTTGATGCTAGCATATGGTTTGATCTATAAATGCTCTATATATATGCTTTATTGAATTGTTATTCCTCAAATAGCTTTAATTGCTCATTGTGAAAAAGAGAATAAAATATGAAAAAAATGAATACCGAATCCTTGGAAACAGTCTTGACGACAAGGACGTATTCGATGTGAGCAAAATAATGGGTGCCGAATCCCTGGAAACAGTCTTGACGACAGGGACGTACCCGGAATAAAAGAGAAAAATATGAGCAAAAAGGCTCAAGAAAAGAAAAAATTGAAAAAAAAAATTCTCTTGGTTATTTTGTGCTAAAGGTTATTTGAAAAAGAGTGATAAATGCAATAGGTATATGTGTTTAGTGTTTATTCTTCAACCTATGTGCTTGTTAAGATGTTGCATTATAAATCGTATGAAATCATGAATTTCGATTGTTGATTCAAGCTTAATTGTAAAATCTTTGGTTCATGGTTATACTTTAATGCATGCTTGTTCTGTTATAGATGGGTTCATCTTCTTTTTATTGCAACACATGACTTGATATGCTATATGTATGCTAAGCTCTTGAACATTAATGAACATAATTCCTATGCTTGATGAAATCATTGTCAAAAGGGGGAGAAGTAATGTGAAAATTTTTGGATTTTTGGAGAGGCAAGGTGGATTTTTGGAGAGTTTTTGAGAAGAGCATGTGTTTGGTTCAATTGGGAATTTCTTTCTTTTAAAAAGGGGGAGAAGTTTTCTTTTGGATTTTTGAGCACGATGTGTACGTTTGTACGAAGTGTGCTTTTTACCACTTTTGTTTTTATTTTTCCAAACACCAAAACATTTTTTATGGGTTTGCCAATGTGTTCATCAAGGGGGAGATTGTAAAATCAAATGTGTTTTTGATTATTATTCTGTGATGAACAATTGGGCATTGGAGATTATTGGTTTTGTTATTTGGAATTTATTCACGAAGTGGTTTTGGAGATGATTGGATTCACAGGTGATCGCGGGATTCATTATTTCATGTGACCGGTCAGACCGGGCTCTGGTAGCCGGTCAGACCGGCGTGTAATGCGCGGTCAGACCGGCGCAGCCCGCGGTCTGACCGGCCGACGCTGTGTCGGTTTCAGTTTCGGGTTGTTTGTTTGGATATCCGTGATTACTTCATGATTATGACTTTTAGATGGATACTATACGTATGTAATATTGTTGTTTGCTACTAATGAGTCAAGTTGGAGATAGCTTGGTCTCGGAATATGGTTTCTTTGTTTATTTCATGTGTAGGTGACTCGATGTCTCGGGAGAGTATTCGCGGTGATGGACTGGGAGTCGGCTTGGGGATAAGACGACGTCCGTGGTGGTCAGAGATCATGCATGATACTTAGGCTAGAGTTGATGCACGTGGTTGATGGAGATTCCATATGGCATACGATGGAGGTATTGTGTGCGTATGGGATGCGGAGTCAAATTTGGAAGGAGTCCAAATTTGGTACAAATTTGGTACGATTGGTTATGTAAAGTTTCTTTCTTGTACTAGTGGGTTTCCTAAGGTGTTTAGGACTCCTAGTATGAGTTTGGTTCGTGGCTTTAGGCTGCCTACCTCATGTATAAATAGAGGGGGAGCGTGAGGCTTCCCGGTATCGCTTTTGAGAGTAATTGAGTTGAGTTTTGAGTTAGGGTTTCGAGTTTAGTCGAAATTTTTGTAAGGAGTGCTGTCGGTGCACTTTGTAAACATAGAAAGAATCAATAAAGTAATCATCTACTTTAAGAGTTCTTCGATTTGTGTTTACCGGGTTTCGGCGGTCAGACCGGTGGCGGCGACAGCGAGCAGCAGCTGATCTCGGCGGTCGGACCGGAGATATAACCGCGGTCAGACCGACGGCAACCAGGCGGTCAGACCGGTCGGACAACTTCGGTCAGACCGCGATCCGTCGATTTCAAGGGTAACTTTTATTTCCGCTAAAAGTTTTCGGTTTTTGGGTATACCAACCATTCACCCCCCTCTGGTTGGCTTAGTTCTTGTGATTCGATCCTACATAATGGGTAAGCTCTCGTGGAAAGTATAGTTTGCTCCGAAGCAAAGCATGCACTTTGTTAAGGTGATAGTGTTGGCTCGATTGGCGATGCAGCAGCCGTGCTCTTCTGGTGATGGTGAGGAATGACAACAGCGTGGAGACAGAGTACAAGCGAAGTGGTGGAGCTCCAATCCAGCAACATCTCGGCGTGCGCTAAAAGAATGGTGGACGAAGCAGTAAGGAGACAATGTCTTGAGATGAATAAAAGGAACATAAGAGAGGGATCAATAAAGGAGTGGGTATATTTGCTTGTGATTTGAAGAAGGCATCAATTTTTTGGAGACAAAACGCAGCAGTGCTGTAGTTTGACAGTGGACGATGACGTTTAAGGGCATGACGTTGGCGAGCGTCAATGGGAACAGAGAGGACAACAAACTAGACAGACACCGGCTTTTATAGAGGAGATGGGAGAGGTGTTAGGGAGTATGAAACATGGACCCATCTCATCAATTTGATTCAATTTTTGCTATTCAAAAAAGAAGTTGATTCGGAAGGGGACGACAATGGATGGTGAAAACCAGGAACTCACCTGTGAACAAGGTCTCAACATGAGGATGAAATGGTAACAGCAGCTCAAGTACCCCGACGGCGACGCCTCCTCTGTGTGCATGTGATGGCTACCGCACATGGAGGGTGAGTCACCACCGACGATGATGTTGAAATGGTGGCTGTCTCAAAAACAGAACAATGATGATGCGATTTGTGATCTGCGAATGGAACCAAAATGACATGCTCACACTAGATGATGATTAGGGAGGAAGAACGACGAGAATGTGGAAGTAGCGCAGGTGCTTACCACGATAAAGAGGTGGAAGTAACGCCGATTGGTTGACATAGAGTCGATTGCGACGGTGTTTGGCTTTACGAAAGATGGCGCAGGAGGTAGGGAACAGTGGCGGACGCAACTTTAAAATATAGATGGGGGCGGAGAATAGAGATGTTCACTTCATAAGAGCAATCGAATATAACACATATTCGTATTAATAGTTCAATCGCATAACTGCCTCGATCTATTGTGCGTTCACACCTTGTTATACCTAATTTTGATGGTCCATGACTAATATATAAGGGTAGGAGGTCTTGGGGGTGTGGAGCGACACGGGTCATAACTGGGTTCTGGGTCGGTCGATCCACCCTGTCTAATGGGTAGATCAGCCCCTGCAGGGAAGACGACGAACCTGGATGACAAATGGTGTGACAGGTTTGTGCTCATTCGGTCTGTGACCAGGGTTTGCAATTTTCGAAACCCTAGCTTTTGCCGGTGGGGGCTGAAAAAACCAAAATCATCGAAATTTTGGTATTTTTTTGGCTGTTTTTTTAACATATTTTGACTGAATTTGAACAAATTTTGACCAAATTTATATTTGACAAAAAAACTGAAAATTTCAGGGAGATTTGTGATTGCTGGTGGAGGCCGAAATAACCGAAATTTCAAACACTTTTTGTGACAACCGCGTCTCCTCGATGTCCCAAGGCAGCAGCCCGTGCCCTTCGGAGGCCGGAATATGGTGAGCACTAGTAGCAGCAAGACGAAGACGACGTAGTTCACGACAGCCCAGTGGATGGCGATGGAGAGAGGCGATGGTGCAAGTTCGCTGCGAACGGCTGGTGGTGGGGATGCGGGCATGACACCGGAGGTAAGGAAGATAGGAGGTGTGGCAGGGACGGTGGTGTGGTGAAGGTGGCAGAGGAGTTGATGTTTTAGTTGAGCGAAAAGAGAAAACGAGGAGGGAACTGCTAGTGCTTTTCGTAGAGGAGGACAAGGAAACTGAGCAGCTAGGAGATGAGGAGTCACCGGTTGCAAAAATGGATCATGGTCATAAGAGCAAGGATAATAGTGGGCTATAAGTAAGCTATATGCTTATATGGAAGAGAGAGATAAACAAAAGTGGGGAGTATTGGTTCTTATGCAAGAGCTAACTGCACATAAATTCTAAGAAATATGCATTAAATTCATGGTGAGAGAAAGAGAGAGGATGAAGAAAATAAAGATAAACTTATAGCCAATCTACTATATATGTTAGATTTAACATTGACTAATAGTAAATAGTGAGCTCTATTATTAAACTTGCTCTAAGGTGGTTTAATTTTTGGTAAGAATGTGAGTGAGGGAGAGATTGATTAGCGGGAGGAGGAACTCGAGGAGACAGCTCGGTTTCCTGGAAGATAACTCGAGAGAACTGACTGGGAATCGGAAAAACAGATTTGTCTGTGATCCCATTGGAGATAACGCAGTGGAATATGATTTGGCTCTTGGTCTGCTTTAGAGCAGGTACAAACTATAAGCCAGCTATAAACATATTATAAAGAAATAAAAGAGAAAAGAGAAGAGCAGCCAGCTGTAGCACGGACTCCAAGACATAACATGTGTATGATAGGTAGGACCAGATATTAATAGTATAGTAAGCAACTATTGTATGAATTGACTATAGATGATTTGTAGCCGGTAGTTGGCTATACTATTAAACTTGCTCTTAGTTTCTTAGCCGTTCCCGTGCGCCGCCGCCGCCGCCGCCGCTCCTCCTCTTCTCACTCCACCGCCGACGCCGTGCCACCGCTCCTACACAGACACAGTACAGGCCCCAAATCGTCATCCTCGAGGATATCTCCCCGTCCGCTCGCCACTCCGACTGAGTTCGCCCCGCCGCCCGCCGATCCCCCCCCCCCCCCCCCCCCGCATACTGGTGAGAATCCATCCGTTCCGTTTACCCACGTCGAGTTTGTGCTAAACCCTAGCTTCTGTTCTACAAATTTTGCCTTCACCTTAATACTAATACTAACAGTTTTCTTGGTTTGTTCCTAAAATTTTTTTTTGAACCCCCCATGTCCCATGTTAGATCCGCCCGTGTCTGAAAACTTGTCCGTTATGTGTGAGAAATTTCAGATTTTAAGAACATGAGCATTATTTTCTTTCACTGCCCAAATCCAATGCGCTAGCTTCTTGACAGATAAACACTTTGAGGGGGAATAAATCCAAGAAACATATGGCCAAGAAACGCGAATCCTGCACCCCGGACGCCAGAGGTACTCCGTGGAAGGGGCGGCTACGTTCTCACCACCCGGCGCTTCCCACCTCGCCCTCATTGCTACCCTCTTCCTCAGCCAAGAACCAGAAGAAGAAGAGGGAGCAGGAGGCCCAATCGTTCAAGAGGCGAGCTGCCCCGAAGAAAGCCAAGGATACGGGTAAATGCGGCAGCCGGAGTCAGGACGCTGCAGAGAAGCCCCTGTTGCCTGCTCCTCCCCGTCGGTCCCCACGCCTCGCTGGCAATCCCCCGGCTTTGGTCGACGGGGTGTGCAAGGTATCCTCCATTGTCTCCTCATGGTTGTGGATTTGTTACATTAGGGCATGTACAAAGGTAGAGTCAGATATGAGCTCTACGTTATCTAGAGACTAGCATCCTACAACAGTTAAAGACAATATGGTCTCTAATCATTAATGTATAAAAATACTTTTTCTTACTCTTCTTTCCTTTCTTTCACCACCATCGACTCTGAGCCGTTGTCATGCACTAACAACCATACTCCTTTCTCTTTCTTCCATATCATCAAATTTACTTGCATGACAATAGAGAAAGACCACTAATAAAGACCGTTGTACATGCCCTTAGTCGTGCCATCTGAAACAATAATAAACCAGTAGCAGTTTGTTTGAAATAGCCATCAAAGTATCCAACAAATTCAATATTCAAAGCTCTTCATTGAACTTATGGCTAGGTTATGTCCATTTTTCAAATAACGGAGGTAATCTTGGCTAGGTTATGTTAATGGTTCAAAACTTGTTTTGAAATTGCTTAACCAGGACAGTTATTTTGAAGTTAATAGTATATGGGAGATATATGGGACCATGTGAGATATGTGACATTGTTGCTTACTTCCTGATTTTTTTTGTTCCATGTTTTATTCCCTATTTTCTGACTTGATAGACAGAACCGCAATTTCCCCCCCTAAAATTTGTCATTATCTCTTGTTTTGAGCATTTCATCAAAATTGAACACTGAATAGTAACATTCTCCAGTAGATCATGCCTACCAAGCAAAATCTTGTTCTACCCTACCAATTATCATGTTCCTGTGCTTATTTCTTAATTTCTACTTTAGATTGGTTGGATCCTTATGCCTGTCCAATCCTAATATTAATGGTAATTGGAATGCTTAAATCATTTTATGTACCATTTATGTCTTCAGAGAAACAGTGTTGTGATTTCTACTACTTTCAGGAATCTATGGTAAGGGGAAAGCAGTCAGCAATTGTGCCTTTCCGAAGATCCCTACGGCTCCGTCATAATCAAAACAGTCAAAATGCTTTTAGTATGGACCAGAATCATGAGAGTTCATCAAGAAGGAGCCAGAAAAATACCGTGGTAAAGCTTTCTATGAGGATGGTAAGCCACAAGGATTCACAAAAAATATTTTGTCAAGATTCCCAGGGCATTCCTCCCAGGATAAGGGTTCCAGATCTATCATGCAAAAAGACTCAGAAGGAAGAGCTGAATTCCAATTGTTGTGAGAAGCTGGCAAGAAAGAGGAAGAGAGGAACAGAAGAAAGAATGTCCTCATCAAAGAGGCAGAGTCATAAGGATCCCAAATCATTGTCCCTAAAATGCCAAGAAAGTACACCTACCAATAAGCCTAGAAACACCAGTCACAAAAAGGGTGAAAATAACTCTTCTTCAATGCCACAGCCTAAATTTTGTGATGGAAGGTTGATGAATGCTGAGAGAAACAATAAAGAGCTAAATGGGAGTGAAAGACGAGAAACACAATGTGGTTTAAATAACTGGACAGAAGAGCAGGACATGGCATTGCGCAAAGCTTACTTCACTGCTCGACCATCCCCAAATTTCTGGAAGAAAGTTTCAAAAATGGTATTGCCAATCCTTCTGTTTTGTTGCTTTAGTGCTTCTATCATTTATTTGTAATTGCAACAGCTGATTGATAATAATATGCAAAGAGGTGCCTGAAGAAACATGATTCTTTACTGGAGTTGAAATGCTGCACTCAAAATCATTTTATATTTTCAGGGATGATTCATCAATGGACCTTAGTTATTCATGACTCATTACGTGTCAATTCTGTTGCAATTTGCCTTCAGTTCTCCCTTCTTACAGAGACTGCCGTACGGCAGACATCAAATAAAAGGGTAAACACATGTTGAAAATCTACCATAGTCTCCAACACACTATTGGTGGGTGATAAATAAGCTAAACAATAGACTATGCATTTCCTGATTATGTGATGGGTTGTTACAGGTGTAGGGTTCACTTGTCATTTGTTTCTTAATTACTCCCAAATTCCCAATTGATCTTGCACTGTAGGAAAAAACAGTAATGATGTAGTAGTTTTTTTATCCATACAATATCTAAGATGCAAAGTTCATGTCAAATAACTAGGTACACAGATTTGACAATGGTTAAATAAGTAAATTGTATATGCTGGTCCGTAGCCCAGTAACACGGCATGCATTGCAATTAATAGCACTTAGAGGAGATTGTTAGTATCTCCTTTGTTTTCAGTATACACTGACACTCAAAGGAATGTGGCAATTAAAGTCATATAGCAAGGATTTTTTAGTGTCAAACTATTTTTTTTTCAGTACTTCTATCTAGTGTTGTTGCAACTAGATTTAGTACAACTTGTTTTGCTTTCAGTTAATTTTCCAGTGCTATTTAGCATATGTTGTCATAAATGTGGCAGCAGTGCCCAGTGGACAATCCTAGTTGGACTTCTTTGAAATACTTCAATGGCAAGCTTAATGTACATTTCTACCTTAATCATTTATTAGTTCAGCAATCGCTGACTTAAACCATTTCAGGTTCCTGGAAAATCTGCTGAAGAGTGCTTGAGCAGAGTTCATGCTGATCTTTCAACACCGACTCCAATTGCTCCTCGTCCTAGAACAAGTAAAATGAAATTTTCTCCTCTTGGACATTTCACATTGTCTGATCCAAAACATCCAAACGTCCTGGAACCTTCCTTCAGAAGACGGACTGCCAAGCAGAAGAGCCTAGCAGCACAGAAGACAGTGAGACATTTACTGAAGAAGCAGTGCCTCACTGACCAAACTCAAGAGGCTGATCACTTCTCAATTTTCGAGACATCACCAACTGTTCTACCGGTGGAATTCTCTTTTGAGGATTCTCCTGGGACTCCTAACAGTTCAGGGAAAAAACTGTTAGCAAGGTTGGAAACTGTAAAGAATGTTGGCATAAACCCCGCTGAACCGAGCCCAGCAGTTCTGAAGCCTATAAAAAATGTTATCTTACATGAGAAATATGTTGACCGATTGTCCCGCAGAGAAGGCACAACAAGGCCTCGTAAAAAAGCTGCAGGGTCCAAAGCTCTGGATTCTGTCAAGACTCAACAGGCAGGTGGTGTGAAGGCTGCAAGGAATGCTCTCATCACAGAAGCAACAGACTTTATAAGCCATTTCAAGAAGATGCAAGCAAATCCCCTTGCGCATGTTGTAGAAGACGACGAAGATGATGAGATTGATGGTATTGAGTGTGATACTAGCAATCATTGATACTTGATTCGAAGCTGCCTGTTGTACATAAAGTTTTAAAACTGCAGCTGGATAGCATCTTATCAAGCTTTAGTTCTGCAATGATATGCATATGTTTTGCCTCAGCTGTTTTATATGCTCTGGATCAGAATAGAGTATCTCTCTTGCAGCAAGAATCCTATTTTTCTTGGCGGTTGACTGGTCATCTCTTTGGATCCATCCAAAGGCTACTGATAAAAAGGTGGTTGAGAGGAAAGCTTGGAGGTGTGTTGTTCAAGTAAGGTCTGATTTTGCTATAAATTTAAGGAAATTGCTATATATCACTTGTGAAATTTTTCAGGTTTTCACTCGAATTTCTGTCCCGTTGAACTTTTTGGGTATGATTCATATCGCTTTTCGGGTCCACACCCCATTCGAGTTGAGAACCATTTTGTCTTTCCAGATCGGAACAAGCCCCAAAGCTGAGAGGTGAGAGCTAGTTCCACTAGCAGAGCCCCTTTTGGGGTAGCATTTTTAGTATTAGAGTGTTTGGTGATACTGGTAGTACTAGGAAGCATCTAAATTCCATTCGCAGTGACCGGGCTAGGGATCTACGGCATGTTTTTGCATCTCCAAGTCAGTCTCTGTGTCATTTTAAGAATTCGTTCGGCACGTTTGCCAGACTCGAACTGAGGGGGAGATTTTTCAATTTTGTACCCCGGGTCACTAGTATCTGTCGCTATTTTGAATCACTGATTTATCAGTAGATGGTGCCATCTGTTATTAGTTGCTGAAGAGGAAAAGGAAATACAGTCTCTTGCTTCTGAATATTTTGTCAATGGCTGAGGTTCATCTGGATCTTTGTTATGGGCAGGCTGATTTTTGCTTTGCCATTTAATTTGTGCAGATCACAAGCTGTTAGGCAGCAAAAAGCTATCTGAAGAAATCAACTTTTTCTGCCTTCCTGTAGATTAGTTTGCAGCATGCATACATATGATATGCCCTTTTACACTTCTTTGACACCTTGGTAGTATGTATGATTGGTCAGTAAATTTTCAAACTCTGTCTACCAATATGTTTTATCTATACAGGTTGGGTACATGGAGATTACACTGGTAGATTTCCTTTGGAAAAATACACTGAAATGATTCAGCATATGCATGACTGCACAGTTCCTTGAATGCCATACATGTATAGAAAGCTAAACAGAGGGATTGAGTGCTACATCTCATGTGTCTGATCCATCTGCTGAAAACTAATGTAAGGTGACACTTAGTTTTGCAGTTCTGCTTGTTTTCCGTCCTTACCTGTCAATCTTCTTTGTGACCATTCATTGTTGTCAGTCATGACTTGTACATTATGTCCAAAGCACAATTTTTAGAATTTATAGCAGCCAAAGCAATTTCTCCAACTGAAGTCTATATCTACAGCAAGTTCTCTAGTATCTGTCGATCTATGAATGTGTTGTTCATCAGTCAGAATTGGTGCAGATATCTGGTGTGTGCCTTTTCAGTTTGGTGTTTCCTGATGAATGCGGCTTGATGCGGAACTGAATCCGTTTGTAGCTTGCTTATATTTACAGTAAGTAGCATGCTTGGCTCAGATTTTCAGCAGTTTGTAATGTATGTACTTACCAGGTAGTAATATCTAGCAAGAATGATGTTTGCTACAGGACATCCAAATTTTGTGTAATTGGCTGGGGGACATCGCTAGATCGTGTCAATGCCGGAGGACAAAAAAAAAGTGTAATTAGCTATAGGATACCAAAGACATTATTTTATAATTACCGAACAAAAATTGGAGAGAATTTTTTTAAGAAAATACAAGTTCACCCCTTCATATTAATTGCACAGCATAGACATAAATCCAGTGCTGTGGGTGTTCCACGTATGTTTGTTATCCACATCGTGTAAACCAACTAACAAATGTAAAAAGAAAATCTAGAAAAATGTACATATACTTCTAATAGTTACGTATATATGTGTGTAAAGTACCAGTTTTAAATTAATTATATTTTAGCCCTAATAAAAAATAAAAATATAACAATTTTAATAGTATAAATATGTTAGAATTTTATCTTTCTCTCTGAATTTGATGCTAAGACTTCATACATAAATGTAATATTGTCGGAGTACTTGTGCAAATTTAACTAGGTTTTTTTATGATATTTGCTAGGTGGGTGTACTGTGAGTGCACCCGAAGCTTATGTGGAGTATGTTCCCAGCTACAAGAAGAGGAACAGATAAGTGGCGGAGCCATCGCCCGGCTAGCCCGGGCTCACCGGCGAAAACTCCATTAAATTTATAAAATTGAATATTGATGAATAAATTGATGGTGAAATTTATATAGCAAATGCTATTTATATTGAAATTTGCTCGGGCTCGAAAATCTTTCTAGCTACACCTCTGGAACAGATAGTGATGATGCTCCCAAGTTTCCTTCCGTACAGTTTGTTCAGGGTACCCGGCTACCCGCCTTCTAACTACAAGCATCAAAATCTCAATGCAAATAATTCTAGAAAGCTTGGCATTGTTTTTTCTTAAAAGAAGGTAAAAAATGAAATAGGTGATTTTTCAGAATAATTTAGGTAGATTTTTTTAGTGATGTTTTTAGAAATCATGAAAAGCAAGGCTGGGCGATAGAAGTGGCAAAGAACAAAACCCTAAATTTAATTTTTTAAAGATCAAATTCTAAATTTAAAATGAGATGCTGCTTTTCAAGGAAAAGCAGTGCCAAACATACAATACCGCTCTAGGTTCTCTTAAGTCTCGTTCGGTTAATCCCTTTCACAAGGGGATTAAGGGGATTGTGTGGAATTATTCCTTTTCAATTCCCTCCAATCCCTCATTCTTGGGGATTGACTAAGCAAACCATTAGGGTGCCGGTCCCCATCAATTACTAGAACACATACTTGCATTAATTATTCAACCCCCATACTACTTCGGTTCGAATAAAAAAACTGAAAAAAATCTGTAATGTCCATTGTTAGTCAAGTTCTATGTCAAATCATTGCCATAAAGCATTATTGTCATTCTTTGATGTTGACAAAACTTTGACCAAAACGAGACCATGCAGCAATCAACCCCAATCAAACACATGCTTTACTATATATTCATATATTGCTCGCTCTCAAAGCTAGGATTCGAACCTATTCCCATCAAGGCATCCGTTTAACTTCGAATCGATTTGATTTCCACTAGAAATGGACACACTCTTATCTGTAGTTGCCAGTGACATTATCAGCCGCCTCATCTCCTCCCTCATCACGAAGTACAGCAACCAAAGCACCGCCGATCATAAGCTTGAGCGTCTGCAATGGCTGCTCCTCAGAGCAAGAACCATCGTCGAGGAAGCCCATGGCCGGCAGATCTCCAACCAAGGTATGCTCCTACAGCTCAGGCAGCTAATGCAGAGCATGTACCAAGGCTACTACATTCTCAACGCCTTCCAAGAACAGCACATCACCGGTAAACGAAGGCGATCATCATCATCCCTCAAACTGAAGAAGCTTCAGGCTGCCATGGAGGATTTGGAATCTGCCATCGATGACTCGAAGAAGGAGTTTGTTGTGTTCTTGCTAGGCTGCCCATGCTTGCCTCAGCGACCATACGACACTCACCTGTTCAGGGAGAAGTGCATGTTTGGTCGGCACGAAGAGAAAGAGCTGATCCGTGAATTTCTGCTTCAACCTTGTGATTCTCCTTTGCGTGTTCTTCCAATCATCCGCCCCCGAGAAGTCGGGAAGAACACGCTGATCGAGCACGTCTGCAACGAGGAGAGCGTGCACGAGCATTTCTCACGGGTTGTTCGTTTCAAGAGCGATGATTTGAACAATGAAGAGAATCAAGAAAGTTTCTTCAAGACAAGTGAGCTGGTTGCTTCTAGTACCATGTCTCTGGTTGTCGTTGAGCTTGTCAACGACGATATCAGTGACGAGACATGGAGAGGATTCTGCTCATCCATTGCAAATGGTTGCAGCAAAATGATAGTCATCAGTAGATCGGAGACGATCTCAAGGTTAGGGACAACACAAGCACTCAAGCTCAAGAGGCTCAAACGCCACGAGTTCTGGTACTTCTTCCGAACCATTGCCTTTGGAACTGCAGATCCGGAAGAACATCCAGAGCTACTGCGTATCGCCAGGAGGATTGCAACAACAGATCAAAGGTGCTTCCATTGCTGCTAACATATTTGCAAGATTGCTACGAGCTAACCTGAATGTAAAGTTTTGGAGTTACACATGGAGGTTCATCAAGAAAGCAGTGGAACTTCAGCTTCTTGCCTGTGGTGGGAGTTGGGACATTGTTAGCAATAGCCGCCACTACTATCTGTCTGGTCACAGTGATGGCCCTCTCCATCTGTGCAATGATGGGTACAAAACTGTTGCAGCTGGTTGTTTGGTGAATGATGAACTACCAAGAATAATAGCAGATGACATGCTGATCAGAACCAATGCCTTTTCTGAAGGCAGTTTTGATATCCTACGATGGAAGTCTCCAATACGCCCCTATTATTGCTACATAGCAAACTGTGTTGTTAAGAAGGCTCCACAGATTGTGCAGCCTAAAGATAAATCTCTGAAGAGGAGGAGAGGAATATGAAAGTTTAGTGTCACTCTATGTACACAACAATTTCTGTATTTGGTGTTGACTATAGTGATGTTAGCTTGGTTATTTGTACTTTTTTCACTTTTACTTCTACACTTCTACTCCTAGCACTCTGAAACTGATACCAAGTGATGACAGCATTAATCCAGTGGACTCTAGCGAACCAAACAGAGGCTGAGTTTGTTTCTTTAGAGTTCCCAACTCCCCTCTTGTTTCCACGTGTACGCTTTTTAAACTACTAAACGGTATGTTTTTTACAAAAAATTTCTATAGAAAAACTGTTTTTTTAAAAAATCATATTAATCTATTTTTCAAATTTTTTAAGTTAATATTTAATTAATCTTGTGTTGGTTGGGAACCTGCAAACTCAACCAAAGCAATGTTTCATTCGGAAAAAATGATCTCTGTTTTTTTTTCCTTTTGGCCCCACGTGCCAAAACTCAGTACAGGGGGTTTCTGGAACCGGCTCCTCGCATCTAAAGTCAGGGAAGCACAGTATTTTAAGTCTTGTGCTACAATGCAAAACAGTACCGTGCAGTTTATTACTGTAGCAACAGTATAAAGCAGTGGATTTTACTGTACAGAGATATTGTTCACCAAATTACTGTACCGATCGATCTTGTTCGTTTGTGGTGGATCGGACGGCTAAAAATAGCTCTAAAGTTATGGCACTATAGCTCTCTAACTTTACATGAAAGTCAGAGGATCTCATCCCGGGGTTTCTTCTTCTAGATCATGGGAACTTCAAATAAGGGCACAAAGTTCAATGCTTGCTCGCATAATTTAACAGGACAAGAGTGGAATATAATGGGAAAAACTAAGTATGAATAATGGTAAGCAAGTAGACTGTGAGTGACAAATAATGAATTTTCTCGATTAAAATTTGGTACGGTGAAGCACTAAAGTCACCCATAAATTAACTCCATTATCTAAAGAAAAAACTCCATAAATTTTCTTGCCCGTGAAATAAAAGGGAAGAAAATGTGTCTTTACTTATGCTAACCGGAGGCCCGCCTAGAAGCTTCCTCAGGATTATATGGATCAAAGACACTCACGAGTCAACACTAATAGTTGTAATCTTGGACGATTCAAAAGAAAGAAGAAATTAAACATCCATGGCTGCGGATGAGATCCATGCATGAAATTTGGATCGAACTACCGGACAAAGCAAAGTCAATACCATAATATTTAACATGGTGAATTACAGAGATAATTGATATTCCCTCTATATTTTAATGTATGACGCCGTTGACTTTTTAACCAACGTTTGGCCACTCATCTTGTTCAAAAATTTTATGCAAATATAAAAATACTTATGTTATGCTTAAAGAACATTTGATAATAAATCAAGTCACAATAAAATAAATTATAATTATACACATTTTTTGAATAAGACGAAATGTCAAACGTTTGTCAAAAAGTCAATGGCGTTATACATTAAAATACGGAGGGAGTACATAGGAGGGAGGCAGAGTTGATGAGTACAATCAAGAGAATCATGAAAGTTTCATCAAGGGAAGGGAGCTAGTCGCTTCTAGTGTGATGATGTCCTTGGTTGTAGTTGAGGCTGTCAATGACGAGATCGACGATGAGTCTTGGAGAGGATTCTGCTCATCCATTATTGACAGTGGTTGCAGCAAAATCATAATTATCAGCAGAGTGGACACCATCTCAAGGTTGGGGACGACACAAGCACTCAAGCTGAAGAGGCTCCGTCAGCATGAGTTCTGGTACTTCTTCCGAGCCCTTTACCTATGGAAGTTCAAATTCAAACGGTCCAAACAAAGTCGTATAGAAAAATGACCAATACAAAAGTTGAAGATCTTGATAAGTTATACAACTTTATTGTTGACAACTTTTCTATTTGAAATCATTTACTGCGTGAAAAATTATTTGAATTTTTTATATTATAAAGTTCAAATTTTATATAGTTCAATCAAACTCGGATGGAGAAATGACCAAAAGAAAATTGGTAGATCTTAACGAGTTCTACAACTTTATTTTTGGTAACTTTTTCATATGAGTTCATTTAATATCATAAAATTTGATTCGAAGTTCTCATAATTTTAGATTAATTTTTTCCCTCCACACCACTTCAAAATTTTTCATCTCTTCTCCTCTCTCCTCTCTCTCTCTCCCCTCTCTGATATTTTCCCCTCGTCTCTTTCTCTTCCTCTCTCTCTCACTCACTCTTTCTCTCCTCTCTCTCAACCTTTCGGAGGCGCCTGGCGAGCGGCGGCGCCGGGAGCGGGTGGAGGCTGTCACGCCCCGAACTAGTCCCGACCGGAAATAGCCCGTGACGCTCCAAATTAACCTGTTAATCGATACCAGTCCCAGGAAACAGTGCTGGTATCACAGGGAGACAGAATATCACAACAACAGAGGTCTCTTTATTATAGAGTAGAGGTACAGTCATGTTGGGCTGCGGACAGATCCCGAGCTCACAACTGCATTACAAAAGGGAAACGGAAGCCAGGACTTAGACCAATCAACACAGGCGCGACTTGGGAACTAGGCCGAAACCCTAAAACTCGTCGTAGCCGGCTTGCTCCTGGAAGAACTCCTCATCAGCAGGATCCACTTCATCTTCTTCCGCAACTGAGGGGGGGGATATTTATATAGAGCAAGGGTGAGTACGGGAGTACTCAGCAAGCCATGGAAATTAAGTGTTTAATGCAGGCTTCAAAGAAAGGCTGATGTTTTTGCAATTGATTTTATTTGAACTCTTTTCTAAAAACAACTAAGTGAGTGCTTCTCAAACGACACAGATGAGACAGTGCGTCTCGTCCGGTCGGAGTTTGTGCAATATATCAGTCTTTAGGATTGAAGCAAGGTTGGCACCCGGCCAACAACTTTTCAAACGGCCACCCGGGCCAACAACTTTTCAAACGGCCACCCGGGCCTAGCTGATCCCATCAGCTGCAGATTTTTCAAACATCGAACCCCTTCTCACAACAGCAATTTCACAAGCAGTAGTCAAACAAAACTACGCTAGGAATCACCTCACATCCGCCCATGACCGTGGGCACGGCTGTTCGAACAGTTTGTTAACCTTTGCAGAGGGGGGTACACTTTACCCACACGACATTACTAACCCGGATCACCCAGCCCGTGGGGATCAGCCACGTCGGGAGACCTCCAAGCTTTCATGACAAGGCATTTCCAAAGCCGACACAGGTTTACCATATGCCGACGAGAGGGGTCCCAGACCAACAACAGGTTAGGTCCCAGACCTTACTGTGCCAGGAAGCCCAGGGGTCCTCCCCGACACCACCCCGGCGAATCCACATGTCTCTCGGCATCAAGGCTCCCCTGATAAGCTAGTTACTCAGCTAGGGGTGTCCCATTCCACCCATGTGGTCGTACTTGTCTTATGTTTGGATGAAATTCCAAGGAAACGGTCCTTAGGTGCAAGAGCGGGAAACCGTATACCCGGTACGTTCCCCGGTCCGCGGTTTTGGAAATTCATTTAGTTCGCAAGCACCGACCCAGGTGTCGGGTTTTCCAAGTCTTTTGTAAAACCCAAGTTTTACCCAAGAAGTTTTTCAGATTTTAAGTTTGAAGGCGCCCGTCGATACTCGCACAGGGTGCACGAATATCGAGACGCAACTAGATGGTTACAAGGGGACACGATATAACAATTATCAAAGGAAGGATCAAATGCAACAAATTAGGTAGGTCCGCCAATCTGCCTTGCAGACGGGACAACAGATTAAGTGCGATCCTATCAATGCATAATATTTTTCAAGCAACATAATTAAATTTCAAATATAGGCTCAAGATGTTCAAAGGTGGCTTGCCTTGCTCGAGATCTGGAGCTTGATCCTCGAAATCCTCGCACTGCGGGTCTTCGGGCTCCGAAACTACACGCGAAACGGGACAACTCAACAAACGGCGAAAATAAAGCCCTATTAATGACCTCTAAGCGTGCCATTAGATAGATCTCGAGATTTGAGGAATTTTGGAAGTTGAACGGAGTCAAACGGATTTACGGTTGGGAAGATATTGAATTTCTAAGATTTTTGGATTTTTGGTCTAAAGGAAAAAGGATTTAATTAAATTCTTTTTGGAAAAGAAAAAGAAAAGAAAAGGAAAGAGGGAGGGATTATAGACTTTTCCTCGGGCGGCTAGGGCGTGGCCCAAGGGAAAAGGAGCGGACCGACCGAGCTAAATGGGCCGGCCGGCCCAAGGCGGCCCAAGTGCGCGCGCGCGGGAGGGGAGGAGAGAGAGGGCCGGTGGACCGGGCTCACCGTGCGCGGTCCCGGGTGGGACCCGCTTGTCAGCGGCTCGGCTCACCGTGCGGAGGGAGCACGCGGCGTACGCGCGCGGGCGGGGAAGGGACATGGTGCACGCGTGCGATTAGCGGTGGAAGCGGTGCGGCGGGCCCACGCGCAGCCTCACGGCTCGCGGTGGAACGCGCGCACGGGGAGGGGCTGACCGCGGTCGGCCCGTCCCGACCTCGGCTGAGCTGGCGCCGACGTGGCGCCTACGTGGCTGCCACGTGGGCTGGCGGGAGGTAGACGACGACGCCGGCCGGAACAGACGGCGGACAACAGCGGCGAGCGGCGGAGCGAACCACGGCGATACAGGCGAAAGCGAGCACACCGGGTGGTTGCACGAGACGAGGGGAGACGAGCCAACGGCTCGGATTCGCCGTAGGAAGCTTGACGGCGGCGAATCGCGGCGGCGGCAACCGGCGGGGAGGGAAGAGGGAAACGGCGACGAGGTCACGAGGGGTCGATTCCCGGCGGTGAGAGCATCTACGCGGCCACGGGAATCCGATGCTAGCGTTGGATTGGGCGGAGCTACGCCGAGCGAGGCTGGCGACGAGCGGGTGCTACGGAGCTCGAGCGGCGACGGCGGCGAGCACACGGCGAGCGACGGCAACGGTCGGGGCGGCGCCGGCTAGCTACGGGGAGGCTACTCGTGCTACCACCGAAAACTAAGGGGGGGAGATGGAGCGAGGAGGAAAAACGGAGAGAGGCACTACCGAGATGAGGAGGGGCGCTGTGACGAGAGGCCGACGGCGCGGGAGTGATCTCTCCGGCCTCGGGCTGAGGAAGAGGAAGAAG